GAAAAATTGAGAAGAGAAGATGAAAATCATGGGAAAAAGGAAAAATTGAGGTGAGGAGATGACGAAAATCATGGGAAAAGGAGAAATTGAGGAGAGGAGATGAAACATGGGAAAACGGAAAAATTGAGGAGAGGAGATGAATTTCATGGTAAAAAGAAAAAAAATTGAGGAGAGGAAATGAACATCATGGTAAAAAGAAAAAAAATTGAGGAGAGGAGATGACGAAAATCATGGGAAAAGGAAAAATTGAGGACAGGAGATGACGAAAATCATGGGAAAAGGAGAAATTGAGGAGAAGAGATGAAAATCATGGGAAAAAGGAAAAATTGAGGACAGGAGATGAACATCATGGTAAAAAGAAAAAAAAAAATGCGGAGAGGAGATGACGAAAATCATGGGAAAAGGAAAAATTGAGGAGAGGAGATGAACATCATGGGGAAAAGGAAAAATTGAGGAGAAGAGATGACGAAAATCATGGGAAAAGAGAAAAATTGAGGAGTCGAGATGACGAAAATAATGGAAAAAAGGAAAAAGTGAGGAAAGGAGATGAAAATCATGTGAAAAAGGGAAAATTAAGGAGAGGAGATGAACATCATGGGGAAAAGGAAAAATTGAGGAGAAGAGATGAAAATCATGGGGAAAAAGAAAAATTGAGGAGAGGTGATAAAAATTATGGAAAAAAGGAAAAATTGAGGAGAGGAGATGACGAAAATCATAGGAAAAAGGAAAAATTGAGGAATGGAGATAACGAAAACCATGGAAAAAGAGAAAAATTGACGAGAGGAGATAACGAAAATCAAAAGAAAAAGTAAAAATTGAGGAGTGGAGATGAAAATCATGGTAAAAAGAAAAAAATTGAGGAGAGGAGATGATGAAAATAATAGGAAAAGAGAAAAATTGAGGAGAGGAGATGAAAATCATGGGAAAAAGAAAAAAACTGAGGAGAGGATATGACGAAAATCATGGAAAAGGAAAATTGAGAAGAGGAGGTAACCAAAATCATGGGAACAAGAAAAAATTGAGGAGAGAAGATAAAAATCATGGGAAAAAGGAAAAATTGAGTAGAGGGGGAAATGACGAAAATCATGGAAAAGGAAAAATTGAGGAGAGATGACGAAAATCATGGCAAAAAAGGAAAAAGTGAGATGACGAAAATTATGGGAAAATTTCGCCTCGCTCATGGCAAGAGAAATAAAGATTGCGGAGAGTTTGAGTAAATTCTTCTGATTTTCGCTGCATCCCCGCTACGTCGGCCGTGCCCTGTGACCGTAAAAGTATATAATTACACCTTCGAAAGCTCACAGCTATGCATCGCTGTGGGCATCTGCAAGCCACTTGCAACCATAGTAATTATCGTACAAACAGACTGACATGCAGTTGTTTTAAGGATGAGCCTGCATCGGCAAATATTTGATTTACTAGCGTCGCAGAGACCACATCGCGTCGTGATAAATACGGCATATACGATACTAAACAGCGATGCAACTGCCTGAAGATTACGATGAAGTTTTTGGACGAATTTCTGTGACCTTGAGATCTCTGTATAAGTAAAAAGTAAAAGTAACGTTTGTAAACCACTAACTTACACAAATTAATCCACCATTATTAAGCTCGAGAACTATCGTATTTTTGTTCTACATGATGACACAGATATGCACTATACGATGCATTTCAATACAAAAAAATTATTTTCAGTCGTCATAAAATTTTTCAATTCAGCAACTTTTTGCTGTTGTACTTCCATCGAGAGCTAGCTGCAATAGATATTGATGTGCCACCTGCAAAGAAGCTAAATTTGAGCATTAACCCATTATTTGGGAGATCATTAATGTAGATGAGAAATAATGGGGACTAGGACAGAACCTTGTGGCATTCCGACCGATATCTTCCTGTCGTATCGTTGACAGTGGCGTTGCTGAAAGTTGTTGTATATGCTGTGGTGCTAAATACCTTGTCATGCGGTATCAGTATGACTCAGGTGTTACTGTAGCCTGTGCACAGCGGTATTGAATGTGTGTGTCAGAAGGACATTCCAGGAATGTTTCTCACATGCGCTGGGGTTTACACAATTCCTAGCGATCGTATGTGAATTCGTATGAAGGTACTTCTACGTTTCTTATACACTAAATGGCAGCGAAAATGCAACACCGACTAAGACTACTGTCATTTTGAGCATTCTTAGGTCTACTGGTAAATAGAAGGTGATTTTTACTCAAAATTTCGCAAAATACCTTAATGTTAATGTGTTGAAGCTCCTCTGTTCGCTACACATTCCTTAAGTCGTTGATTGGCGTTAGGTGATTGATGTTTTATTCCGGACTCTTCTAAAAAGTCTAAACTAGCACATGCGACATGAGGTCGTGCATTGTCCTGCTGAAATAGTGGATCTTGCAATGTTTCCAACAAGGGAAGCAGGTGTGGTTGTGAAACTTCGTGGGTGTCCGCAAAGTTGGGGTTTTCCTTTACACGACGTGTAGATCTTGAAAACATAAGCAATTTTTCTTAGTACCATATACACCAATGTCTTAAGGGAACCGAGATAAAGGGCTCTGCAACCTCAAAAATATCTGAATACCGTCCTGTAGCCGCGACCCGCCGCGATATCCCCGACTGGTACTAGGACACTAGTTAGGTCAGTATGCAACCTTCAACCGACGGTTACGGCCACGCGTGTAGAGGTAATCGCGTAGACGAGAATCCCTCAACAAGCACTAGAGACGTGGCTAGAGAAGTGCAAGTATCAAAAACTAAAGTGTGGCAAACGCTGCGTGAAGAGGGGCTGTATCCGTTTCACGTCCAACGTGTACAAGCCCTTCAACCTGACGATTTTCCAGCAAGAGTGCGGTTTTGCGAGTGGTTGTTGCATCAACATGACAATAATCCGGACTTTTTGAAGTGCATATTGGTGACAGACGAATCTACGTTCACGCGTAATGGGGTGAATAACTTTCGCAACACTCATGTTTGGTCAGTAGAAAATCCGCACGCTGTCCGTCGGGCATGGTGAACGGTATGCTCATTGGACCATTTATTCTCCCAAATCGATTGGACGGGATGCAATACCTAGACTTTTTACGCAACATTTTGCCTTCCTTGTTAGAAGATGTGCCATTAAGTGTAAGGCAATCAATGTGGTTTCTGCATGGTTTCCGCCCCATTTTAGACGCGAAGTGCGTGAGTTTTTGAATGAATTATTTCCGAATAGGTGGATCGGACGTAATGGACCCGTAGCGTGGCCTCCGCGATCTCCAGACTTAACACCATGTGATTTTTTTCTTTGGGGAGAAATGAAACGCTAAGTGTACAAAACTGAAGTGCATACGGTTGACGAACTTCGTCTCAGAATTGAACAAGCTGGTGCTTTCATTCGGGGGAGGGACTCCATTCTCAAAGCCTGCACCGATGCTTGGCTACGTCGTGCACGCACCTGCGTTTTTGAATCAAACGGCGATAACTTCGAACAATACCTATAAAGTACGTTTACCTAAAAACTGAAAACGCGGCAACGCCGTCATATTTGTTACCTCTGTTCGTGGTCTGCACCACCACCTGCGTCTGCTCGGTAGCGCATCAACTGATTTCATATTCTGTTGGAGCGGTATGATTTCGGGCAGAGACCTACTTAGCCCTTCTCGTCAACTGGAGAGTGAGTACTTTTTCATTTATTTTTTTTTACTTGGTCGCCCTCGTTTCACTACACATTACCTTTGTTATTTCAAGGGTAGTTGTTTCTGAATAGGAAAACCTCAACTTTGCTGGCACCCTGTATATGCTACCTCGAATGAACACTAATCGTGACCTGCTGCCGTAAGGAATCACACCCCATATCATAACACGTACAGTGCGATGAATATGCAGTTCGTTATATTGGGCCAATTCTGGGTGTTGCATTTTATATGTCACTTAGTAAATAAATACTGGTTATGGACTAATATACCTCTCAGATACAGGTGAAACGACTTCGGATTCGGTATTGGCTGCCCAAAACAAGTGGAATAGAGTCGCAAAAAACGCAATTTTTCGCTAGATCTACATCATAAACGGGATCACATACATATAAAACGACCTCGGATTCGATATGGGCAGCCCAAAATACGTGGGATAAGGGTCATTTGAACTGCATTTAAAGCACTTTAACATATAATTACCATGTAGGGGTATTCTTACCAAAAAGTCACAAAATGGGTTAATCGTGAACGTGAACGCAACATATCTTATAATACGCTTTTTGGGTTCGCTGAAACCGATTCCATGGCCCATTCCGTCCGAAAATGTCTCGTTTTCAAGATACTGGCTAGAATTCAACTTTGTCAAAAAACGATTAATAAAAAATATCTAAAAACTGTTGCGCTTCTATGATCGAGATGGAAGCTTGTTTTCTGGGTAAATCGGGTGCGTAGATTCCAAATTCGATGTCGATACATTGCTAGAATTTACGACTGGCCCGGAAAAATGGTTTCCTTTCAACTTTTCACCCTATATCCAAACACCTAAGAAATTTTTCACTTTGATATTCATATTCTGCGCCCCAAATTACCTCATTGTGCAAAGCTCCGCTCTTATGTAGCCATCGATAGTAAAGATGGATTTTTAGCACCTTAAAGTTGTTTAAAGTCGCAAACAACTCCTAGTTTTGCAATTTTTCGCTAAATAATTAGATCTAAATGATAAACGGGATCAGATTCACGTGAAACGACTTCGGATTCGGTATTGGCAGCCCAAAATACGTGGAATAAAGGTCATTTGAACCGCATTTAAAGCATTTTAACATACATATACAAATGATTAACGTGCTTCCCCTGTTCTGAGGATAAAGTTTTTTTTTTGAGGCTGTAAACTTTGCGGCTTGTGGTGGTTCGGTCCACTTGCAGATGCTTTGACATTATCTAGACTGTCCAATCGTTTTCTTATAAAATGCACAGAGTGTCTCCATGTTACGATCGTTCAGTATGAGAAGGTTCTGACGGAAGACAATCGATGATATTTTCTGTTATTTCCAGGTTCTGCAGATAGTGGAATAGCCGAACAAGAACAAACTTCTTCAACACCCGAACAACGCGTACTTCAAGAAGTATTAGAAACTGAAACCGTCTATGTCGCGGACTTGGGAGAAGTTATCCATGTAAGTTTTCGCACTTGTGCCGTCTAGCTACAAGAATATTAGGCGATGGTGGACGAATTAATAATAATAATAATAATATTTATTTACTCAATGTACAAAGATAACAAACAATATGAGTAAATAAATATAAAATCAAAACAGGCCCAATAGAAGGCATCGCCTGTACATGGACCAATAATTTAAGTTGAAACTGCAGAATGCAAATGACAAAAAAGGACAAAAATTAGCTGCAGTAGATTATGTATTTAGTTGATGTTCGTATTTATGAGTTTATGAATTTCAGTCCTAGATATAGAATGTAGCCACTTTTTTAAATTTCTTTTGAAACAATTTCCGAAACGTAAATCTTTTAAGTCTTTAGGTATAATTTCATAAAATTTAGGCGCTAAATAGAGATATGATCGCTGCATTATAGATTTATGCGGTTGAGGCACTACTGTGCCACGAATTTTGTATCTGGTATAATGATTATGTTTAATTTTTTGGTCGGTGTTTACAAATTTATGGTAGTGAGTGATACTGTGTAAGAAATAAAGCTGTCTTATATCATACATTCGAACATCTACGTATAATTTTTCAGTGGGATAAAGTTTCGGTTTTTTAAATATCATTTTTAGAATACTTTTTTGAAAAACATCTAAATTATAGATATGTGAGGAACATGCAGCTCCCCATGCTAATATACCATATGTGAGATGAGGCTCAATCAGTGCATGGTATAATGTTCGAAGATATTTTTCTGTCAATATATTCCCAAGGTATTTAATTTTGTAGGATACAAATCTAACTTTCTTTAAAATATAATTGACATGGATGTCCCATCGTAAGTGAGGATCCAAGACCACTCCAAGGTATTTTATGGTGGGCACTCTATTGATTTGCATTTTTTGATCATTAATATTGAAGGAGAAATTTGTGTAATTTGGCAGATGTCTAGCATAAGATCCAAATGGTAAAAAATGTGTTTTAGAGTAGTTAATGCTTAATTTTCTACTGTTAAACCACCGAATAATTTTGATAAAATCATTTTTAATTACATTTTTCAGATCAGACCAGTCAGTGCCTTCATATAATATTGCAGTATCATCTGCAAAACTAGTTATTTTGCCAACACAATTAATTTGGAAAATGTCATTTAAATATATATTGAATAACAGCGGACCTAAGACAGTTCCTTGTGGGACACCACACTTAATATACATTTCTTTACTAAATGATCCTGATATCTGCACAGATTGTGGGCGATTTGACAAATAACTTTGGATCAGTGAGTACGCGTTTCCTCTGAAACCAATTCTCTTCAATGCTTCTAATAATAATTTGTGATTAACTGTGTCGAAAGCTTTCTTTAGATCAACAAAAATGCAGATTGAAGGGATTCTGTTATTAATATTTTGATGTATTTGATTTACAGTTTTAGTTATTGCGTCCGATGTAGCCTTCCCTTCTGTAAATCCATATTGATTTTCACTTAAAATCTTGAATTTTGTGAGGTATCGAATCATTCTAGTAGATAAAAATTTTTCAAAAACCTTTGCTACACTGGATATTATTGATATTGGTCTATAGTTGTTAATATCTGTTTTTGTTCCTGATTTATGTATCGGTATTATATTACCTTTTTTTAAAATTGAGGGATATATGCCAGATTCTAAGCATTTGTTGATTAGGTAAGTGAGTGGTTTTGTTATGTCCTCGGCTATAATTTTCAAATGCTCGCTTTTAATACCATCGAACCCAGGACTTTTCCGATTTTTTAAGGACATAACAGTGGTGTATACTTCACATTGCTCGACTTTATCCAAAATAAATGAGTTCAAAGTTCTTTTTGGAGGCTGAGTATTTTGTACATTTGCTTGTATATTACTTGCTAAATTTTCGCCTATGTCAGTAAAGAATTGTACAAATTCATCGCATATCTGTTGAGTATTTTTTAATACTGTTCCCGATGTTGTATTTAACTCAGTGGCACACTCTTTAAATTTTGTTTTCCCAGTAATCTCATCAATAGTTGTCCAAAGCCGCTTAGGATCATTTAAGTTATTATTCAATTTATTTAGGTAATGTTTTCGTTTGGTTTGCCTTACAAGCTCTATAAATTTATTTTTATATTGGTTGTAGCAGTCGGTATTCTCTGTAGTTGGCGTTAGTTTCATTACATTATATAGTCTTTCTTTTTCTATTGCCGATGTTATTAATCCTTTGGTAATCCAGGCATTTCTGCTTTTTTCTTTGTGACTAATTATTACTTTATTGGTACTAATATCTATTAGTCTTTTTATTTTGTCTATGAACAGTCCCGTTGCTTTGTCTATATTATTTATAGAGTATAATTGTTCCCAGGATTCTTGTTTGACATTTGATATTAGTTTTGAATTGTCGACAAAAAATTTGTAATTTTCCTGGTTGTTACTAACAGTAGGGATGTTAGAATGTTTTTCATTTGAAGATATCAGTAAAATAGTGGAGAAGTGGTCAGTAATATCGCTTTCTAGGATTATTGGTATACAAGTAATTTTGTTGGATAGGTCTTTCACAAAGCAGTGATCTATACATGTGCCACTGATGGACTTTGCAGGTAGGTTTATATAGGACAGAAATCCGTTACTTGATAGGATATTCAAGTATTCATTTGTGATGGGATCATCGTCCAAAATATTTATATTGACATCTCCCAAGAAAATATGTTGCTTTAAATGAACTTTATGTTGATTTTGAAAAAAAAAATTCGATATTCTTTAAAAACTCGTGGGGATCTGAACTTGGCGGACGATAAATTGCAGATACCTCAATTTTGTTATGGTTAATTTGGATCATTATGTTTAAAATTTTGCAATGTAAAATGTTTTTGGTTAAAACGTATTAAGGACAAATCCATAAACGGTTTGAATTTTTCATCGTTCTAACAATACCACAACGGATGATATTTCTTTGCACGTACGTGCGTTTTCGAGGCAGTCCAAGAAAAATATTACCCATAATCGGCACAAAGTCTGACGAATGCATGTTTGACGACACGTCAACGCTCTAATTCAATATTCTAAAATACCCGTGAACTCATTCGAAATCATTCGCTAAAATCCCTGAACACACATTTCTTTATCCATCTCTGTTACAATAAAGCAAAAACTGCATTACGAACTGGTACTTAAAAATCACCTTGAGTCAACAATTCTTTACGCAATAATGTGATTCCGAAGTAAAATTCATAGATAATTTGAACGTATTGCCTTAATCTATCACGATTATGTGATTTTTGAGTTATTTGAAAGATACGTTATCGCTTATCGGAATTTGGTAGTAGACGTAACTAGAAATATACAGGGTGGCGCATCGAAAACGAAACAGACGCATTCACTGGCAGCTCAGTTTTTTTTTTTGAAAAACGCGTAGATAAAGGGAATCAAAAGACCTTTAAAATAAGGTATCACTCGACCCCCCTTTCCATTTAAGATTTTGGGGTTGGTGTCAGCCCCGCCCAGGGGGCTGCACGTGCTAACGTGATTTTTTGCCAAACTTGTGTCTCCCTCGAAAACAAAAGCGACGGGTGTGAGCGCTTTTCTAAAAAAAAAAACTGAGCTGCCAGTAAATGCGTCTGTTTCGTTTTCGATGCGCCACCCTGTATGCAGATTTCCAATATTATGATCCAAGCTTTCTGCAAGCATGTATACGTATTGTGGTTGAAATTTGTCTCGCAAAGGTTGAACGATAATAAAATACTGGTCAAATTATCCACGAGCTCACCACTTTCAAAATAAACTACGGGGGTTGTCTCATTTTTTTCAGGCACAAGGATTTTTTTATTTGATAAACATAATCGTAACGCTTTCATTTTCGCCTCAAGCTTTTTCAGAAGCCGTAGGAATTTCAACCGCCTGTTGCCGGATCGAGCGTGAAGGTTGAACATTTCAAGATGGCGGTTGCGCACCATTTTGGAATATTTAAATGGAATAAGCGGTCGTGTGATATCTCATTTTGAAGCTCCTTATGAGTACATTATATTTGTATATCGAAATAAATATTTTTCAAAAAGTCGGACTGGCAGTTTGTCAAAGCTGATCGTTTTGTACGTAAAATGTTATGTGTTATTTTGATATTAGTATTTTGTAAGGGTATATCTGAATGTGCAATAAAATACAAGACATTCAAATACAAAATTTTTTTAATTTTTTTTCAATGAAAATTTTCCATGTTTTATTACTTTATAAGAGAAGATTCAGGTAATTTAGTACAGAGAAAACAGAATTTTCCCAAAATAATTTAAAATGTTTCCTGAATTTATTTGTAATGGAATTTCAAAATAAATTGCACATTAAAATTGCCACTTTTTCTCCTGTAGAAGATGTGCATAATTAGAATTTCAATATGACGTTTCGTCTCTTATCCTCGAGCATCAACTTTATTTTCTATGATGGTCGAAATATTGGATTTTTGCACAGATGAATAAAGTTTTTAATTCTGATTCCAAAAATGTATGATACGTCATAGCTGACATTGCCAAACCATATACAGGGTGTCCGCAAAGTTTTCGGAAACAACTACCCTTGAAATAACAAAGGTAATGTGTAGTGAAACGAGGGCGACCAAGTAAAAAAAAATAAAGGAAAAAGTACTCACTCTCCAGTTGACGAGAAGGGCTAAGTACGTCTCTGCCCGAAATCATACCGCTCCAACAGAAAATGAAATCAGCTGATGCGCTACCGAGCAGACGCCGGCGGTGGTGCAGACCACGAACAGAGGTAACAAATATGACGGCGTTGCCGCGTTTTCAGTTTTTACGTAAACGTACTTCATAGGTATTGTTCGAAGTTATCGCCGTTTGATTCAAAAACACAGGTGCGTGCACGACGTAGCCAAGCATCGGTGCAGGCTTTGAGAATGGAGTCCCTCCCCGAATGAAAGCACCAGCTTGTTCAATTCTGAGACGAAGTTCGTCAACCGTATGCACTTCAGTTTTGTACACTAAGCGTTCCATTTCTCTCCAAAGAAAAAAATCACAT